TTATTAATCAACAAGTACTGTACAACAGTAAAGAAACTACACGCAGCTCTACTTTTCATAGGGAATGACACTCCCACCTAACTGCCTATCTCTTTGCAGTAGCACACTCAGAAACAGTGTCAGCTGGTAAGACTAGGCACATCCTAAATTATTCCACTCTTTATATTCTAATTTTTCAGATATAACTTAAAATTGGGAAGAATCTGAAACCTGATAATTACAATATGAAATGCTGCTTTTTCCTTCATTTTCGATATATTGTTATCAGTGTGAGTCATTGCTAACAAATGATAAATTACCCTGCTAACAATCAGAATAATACAAGAAAGACCATCCTGGTTCAGTATGGGTAAATGTGATCTATAAGTGATCTCATTTGTGCATACATAATGTTGCTACATGAACAGATTATCTGTGTATATAATAAATCTTGGGTTCTATAAAGTTCTAAATTATTTCCAATACTAAAACTGAAAATTGAAAATCAAGCAATAGAGATTAATCAAAAATTTCCTTCAAAATAAAGTACTAACCTTATTGGTTACTATTAGAGACTACTTAAAGACTCACCTTATAATCATTTTTAAGGGCAAGAGATCAAAAACTAATATTTTATTTAAGAAAATAATTATTTCAATATGCTTGTAATCTGTAGGCAACACTTCTTCCTCAAATAACGCAATTTTCAAATATAAACCATTAACAGTTTAGAGCCTTCAAATAAATCCAGCAATACGAAATTATTGATTTAAAGTGATAGATGTAAGGTAGATTAAAAAAAAAACGAGATGATCAAAATAATTGACTAAAAAGAAAGTAATGTGTTTTTTATATGGTTTGAATTATTAAAAAATGTTTAATTTCATGTCTTTGCTGTTAAGACAAAAAAAGTAAGCAAACGTAAAAACCTTTTGTAGAACTCAAAACTTCCTTTTTTGTTCTTACAGTATATATGGTGAGAAAAAAAAAACAAAATATTTTTAATAGTGTAAATAAATATTAGACTGTTAAAATGTAGCTAATACAATGAGTTTTGGAGTGAGAGAAAGAACAAAAGATATCCTTTTCTCAATTTTGAATATTTTCATATACATTTTGTTCTATGAATAGCTCCAAATGATACATGTATTTCTGTTAAGCAGATCATTATTGCTTGTCACTTCAAAAGAGCTCAGTAGCTCTAAACCTCTCACAAAAGCTGACGTCACTCTTTGCAACTTGGATAGTAAATTCCCTTATGACAGAAATCCAAATCTTTTGGATGAAATTCACTGCTTTCTGCATGAGTGCTGCTGTGTGGCTGTGAGGCTGTGGCTGTGACTGACTGTGATTGAATTCTAGCGGGGGTTCTTTAGGGCTATGACTCTGACTACAGTGACTGATGTCTATCACTTGCTGTGGAGGAGAAGGAGGAGTTTAAAGGGAGAGCTATGTAACAGGACTGAATCAGTTACAGAAGATGATATCACACCTTGACACCTACATACTGGCAAATTGTCCTGCAGCAGGAAAACAAATTTTTGATGGAACTCTCTACTGTCAGGAGAACTCTGAAGCTAGATTTGCGACTTTAAAACCAGAGCTGCCTGTGAGCATCTATGTGCGAATCCTGGTAGAGTGTTTATCGGTACATCAGCATTGAAAGCCACAAAACAGCATTGCTATTTTTTTTATATTTTCTAAGACACGTTAAAGGGATTCAGTGACCTATCCTAGGAGTAAGTGACTTTCTAATAATGGGGATATTCTGAGGAATTCAAGTCTATTTCTCTCTTAAACAAGGTATTGGAATCTATTAATATCTCCATAAAATGAATAGCTTTATACATATTCTTGTGATATTTCTTATTATGATTGTGTAAACTTTTAACTTGCACAGATAATTTGTCTGTTCCTCACTTTTATTCTTAGAATAAAATAACTGTGGCCTAAAAATATTAGAATTTAATTCTCGAGGTATGATTCTAACTATATGTTTACTAAAATAGTGTTGTTTCACTATTGGGTTATTCTTATTTGTAAGCAGATACTGCATATTCAATTCCATTCTTCATGCATGGTTTCATACTTGTTGGGATTCTAAATTAAAGGGAGAAATGCTGAGTCTGCAAAAACTAGCATGTTAAATTCTAATTAAGGAACTACACCTTTCATAAATTCAGGTTGTTACCTCCAAAAAGGCATTTTGTTTTCTGTGCAGTAATCTTTCAGTCTGACTAAATGCTTTAAACTGAAACCCAGAGAGGTCTCATGGGAAAAGTTTAAGCAATATGGAATATAGTTTTTAAGGTTACAGTTGGAAGTATTCTTAATTTTTTTCTGTTGCTAAAGAATAATGCATTATCATTTCCACTGTATTCATATTATTTGTTCTTAAGATGGCTAAATATGTTTACTGAAAACATTTAAAATGAAGCTGAGAAATTAGTTCCCCACACTCTTCTTAACCAGATTAGGCTGACCATCACTTATCTAATAAGACTATAGAGCATTGCACTTTAGGGGTGGTATTTGCTTCATATGATAACAGGGACATTCTCACATAGCTACTTTTTCTGTCTAATGGTGACAAACTAGTCATTTAGGGACTAAAATTCTGCCACTGTATATATATGAAACATTATTTCAGGTTCCTTGCCTTACTATTGATGAATTATAAGTGGATGTTTAAACATACAAGTGAAAACATATAATTAAAGGTTGTAGGATAAAAAGCAAACATTTCAGAGTAAACAGTGTATCAATAAATTCACTTTTCTGTGAGCCTTTTCATAACTGCTGCTTTTTACACTTTACATGGGGACATGGTACAAAGTACTTAAATATTCAGGCATTACCTAGTGTTGTATAAAACTTTACATGATTATGTGAAATATAGGTTTATACTTCATTACATAAACACAAACTGTCCTTAATTTTTTTATCTAGGCAGTTTATGCAAAGTTCCTGTTTTGCCTCCTGTCCAAATATGATATGGCCATTATATGGCCTAAATCCATAGAAATGTCTGATGAGGTCTAGGTATTCACTTTTCTAACTTGTTTATAATTGGTCACTTGACATGATCACAGAATGAACTTTACATAGCAAACTACAAATCACGTCTGTCCATTTTATTCCATCCAACATTCTAGCAAGGCTGAAATCTGGACCACAGCAAATGAATACAAGACAAATTATCAGTACCTTGGGAAACATCTGTCTTTCTGTGTTAAATAAAGTTCCAAATACCACTAACATGTAAATAAACAAAGAACCTTATCTTTAACGATAAGACAACAGATTGTTGCATTGTTGATGATCAAATCTATGAAAAAATTGAAAAAATGTGTGAAGTCTATCTTTTACCATAGCCAAGAAACTAAAAGAAATCAGCCAAATGTATAACACCCACTCATATTGTAGGTGTTATTCAACCTTAGAAGTTAAGCAACGTTTGCTTTTAATGGTCTTTATGTGCCTTCATATAATAATTCCTTAGACATATGCAACAATTAGTACAGTAGGTCTCAAAGAAGAAGCATACTGTCAAGTTGTTCAATGTGAGGAAAATGTGCTTAGTGACCATAACGGTTATGTAAAAGAAATGTTGGATTTTACAGCTTAACCTTTGACTCAACATTCTTTCTAAAGGTGGACCTACTCACTGATGATTATGACAGACTTCTTCTCATCACCTACGCCAAAATTCATAAACACATTGACACAGATAGGATTTTCTCCTGTTCATCGAGGGGTGGATCACATTCCAAGAAATTTGATTACACAGTTCATCTTTTGTCTGTACATGCTACACTGCATAGTAACACTATTTTCACAACCAAAAAGGGTCAACTATTTTACCTTCTGACGGATTAATTTTCGATAATTACATCTGTAGGAAAACAGGACATAATAAAGTTTCAGACTGAAAAGTCAATAAATATATGAGTGCTGAATGAATGAAGTCATGGAAGAATAGCTCCATAAATCGAAGTAATGTAAAATTGTTTTCTTTTTTTTTTTTACTTTTTTACTTCATCAGCAAACAATTTTTTAAACTAATTTAACAATAAGGAAATCACATGTCCACTAAATCCACAAAATATTAACACGTCTTCTACAGTGCATTTATTGACGCCTTGATATTGAATACATTGAATAAGCAAAACAAATCTTTGTTTCTTCTTTTTATTCTCAGAGTTCCACACCGAATTTAGTGTTAGTAAGCAATACTACTACAGTACTTATATAATAAAATACGTTTTAAATGGTAAAGGAAAATCATTTTAAATAAATCATTTTTTTTAAATAGACTCCGTGAATGCATACATGTTTGGCCTTCATCAAAGCTCTGTTAAATCTGTTGCAACTACTGAGTAATTATTCATCAAGAGGTTTGAAAACACCCACAGATGTCAGTAGTTGCGTACAGTCTAATTAAATTAAGTTGATAGGCCCATCGCTGAGATTAATTTATGTTATAGAGAAGCAGACGCTGCAAAAAAAAAAACATCATTACTAGTATTAGCTATGAACGATATTGTTTTCCGAATTTTTTTTGTAAAATTAATTATCCCTGTGTTTTATTATTCAAAGCAATTCTAAATCAATAATAACGAAATTCCGCCAGAAATAGTCATCTTTAGTATGATGAATATCGGTCTGAAACTTTATAAATATGTATAATGCGACATACTCCAGTCAGATACTTTAAATAATTCTACGCATTTTCAGAATCATAGCCCCGATGTGTTTTTTTTTTCACCGTCACAGCACCTATGTATTGGCATGCATTTTATTCTTACAGTCTGTACAGTATGTGTTTGCAGTATGCATTTTTCTCTTTACCATCAGTATTCTTCTGCAGATTGGTCATTTTATAAGGCTAATTATTTCACTGCATTCACTGCAGTTCTCTGTTCTTAGTCATTGTCAGTTTAAAATAAAACTATTTCCTATCATGCACGACAAAATAATAATAATAATATCATCTTTACCTCGCTCTGAGCCGGGTATACCGCTTGACATGTAAATTGTATCTATAGTTTGAAGTAGCGTACATATACAGTAACTTAAATCTCGACGTTGACGATAGAGGTTACAAAACAACAACAACAAAAAACTTTACAGACCAACGTTATCTTTTCAGAATAAACGTCTAAACGCATGAACATCTTTTAATGCGAACAATCTTAACGCTTGCCCTGTACGTGGATTGATTTTTTTCTCCAACATTCCCCCAGCAGATGGATTTTTGCCATTGCAGCTCAGCAGAGGGTGTCAGATCTTCCAGTGAGCACCAGGCTGGAACGGACAGAGCCTCTTAGTAACCCTCTTTGTAATTCAAAAACACAAAAAGAAAGCAAGGGAAACAGAAGAAGAAAGGGAGAGACGCAAGGATTGCGGATTTTTACCAATACATTGTGATCAGCAGTAAATCTTGGGTCTGGGGCGTGATTTCAGCACCAAGAGAAAAAGAACAGCACCTAGTGAAAACACCGCACAGCAAGAAAACCACGAATTGTAAATTTTGCAAGGTCAGTCATTATCTAGCTAAACAAAATCTGCTTGGAGATGTTGGGTTTTATTGTTTGCTGTTCTTCACGAATAGATTATGCTGTTACACTCAGAGGGATTTGTTCAGTGTAACGCATTTTCTGTTATTTCGAACTAACAGTTCACTACAGTACATGTCTGGACATAGATGTATAAGGATATAATTATTGAATGTCGTCTTCTTTTTTAGAGAGGTGAAGTAAGAAAAGAAATACCGGACCAGTTCTTCCATTCCTTAATTTCATTCATGTCTTGAAATCGGGGATGAATTGTTCTTATTGAAAATGCTGCTTTGGATTGTGTTGCTGAAGGCGGCTCTTTGTGTTGCTATTGGAAATGTTACAAGGGACATTTGTAAAGAGGATATCTGCTCCTGCAATGAGATAGAAGGCGATTTGCACATTGACTGCGAAAAAAGGAGCTTTTCCAATTTGCATCATTTGACAGCCCCAAGTTCTCAATTTTATCACTTATTATTGCATGGAAATTCCCTGACTAGGCTTTTCCCTAATGAGTTTGCTAACTTTTATAATGCTGTAAGCTTGCATTTGGAAAACAACGGTTTGCACGACATTGTTCCTGGAGCGTTTTTGGGACTGCAGCTTGTTAAACGGCTACACATAAATAATAACAAGATCAGAGCATTCAGGAAGAGTACATTTTTAGGCTTGGATGACCTGGAATATTTACAGGCTGATTTTAATCTGCTGAGGGATATTGACCCAGCCGTATTCAGAGACTTAAATAAACTTGAAGTTCTGATTTTGAATGACAACCTCATCAGCGCACTTCCGATTAATGTTTTTCAGCATGTACCAATAACCCACCTCGACCTTCGCGGGAACAGAATTAAAACGTTGCCTTATGAAGGAATCCTTGAACAAATACCGGGGATTGCTGAAATTTTACTGGAGGATAACCCATGGGACTGTGATTGCGATCTGGTTTCATTAAAAGAATGGTTGGAGAACATTCCACAAAATGCTCTTATTGGGAGGGTTATTTGCGAGGCCCCAACTCGATTACAAGGACGCGATTTAAATGATACCTCAGAACTGGATCTGTGCCCTTCAAAAAACGGGATTGACTCCAGTTTGGTTGCACCTCCTACCCAAGAGGAGACCTGTGATCCTGGACCGATTCCAACACCATATAAAATAAATGGGGAAATGGAGGCTCCAACTTCAGGATCTGGGCATAAGGGGCGTTCAAAATCACGCGAAAACTGGCAGCTGAAAACCAGACCCACAGCTAGAATATCAACTGTTAATGTGAAAACTGATCGGGTTTACAACGCATCATGTCCACTGTCTTGCAGCTGTAAACTGCTTGCTTCTCAGCAAGGGCTATCAGTTAATTGCGAAGGTAAAAAAATACAAAGTCTAGCAAATCTGAAGCCGAAACCTTTAAATGCGCAGGAATTGAATCTTAGAAACAACAGTATCCACACAATCAAAAAAAATCATTTTCATGATTACAGAAACCTAAGTGTTCTGCACTTGGGCGGCAACAATATTAAGCTAATTGAAAACAGTACTTTTCAAAATCTAACCGAGCTAAGATGGCTCTACATGGATAAGAACTACTTGGATTCCCTAATTCCAGAAATGTTTATAGGATTGCAAAACTTGGAATTTCTCAGTTTGGAATATAACAACATCCAACTCATATTGGCTGGTACATTCAATCCAATGCCTAACATAAGAGTATTACTCCTCAACAACAATTTATTGAAATCCTTGCCTGTGGATGTTTTTCTCGGCGTTTCTTTATCAAAAATCAGTCTGCATAACAATTATTTTACATTTCTTCCCGTCACCGGTGTTTTAGATCAGTTGATGTCTATTACTCAAATTGATTTGCATGGAAACCCATGGGATTGTTCGTGTAACATTGTACCTTTCAAACAATGGATTGAACGGTTTGGGTCTGGCGTTATAGTGAGCAGCTTGCAGTGTGAATCCCCGGAGGAGTTCTGGGAAACTGATTTCAGACACCTTAGAAATGATCTTTTGTGTCCCCAACTATATGACAAGATACTCCCCACTCCTTTGTCTAAAAACAGTACTTTTACTGCGGATACAGGCTCACGGTCCAATTCCTATCTAGAAACAAGCAGAGTGTCCATTTCCGTGTTGGTTCCCGGACTGCTTCTTGTTTTTGTCACATCTGCATTCACCGTGGTTGGAATGCTTGTCTTTATTCTGCGAAATCGTAAGAGATCAAAGCGAAGAGAAGCAAACTCTTCAGCATCTGAGATAAATTCTTTACAGACAATTTGCGATTCGTCTTATTGGCCCAGAGGGATTTACCACGATGGATCCCACAGAGTTTATGATTGTGGCACCCACTCGCTTTCAGATTAGATATTCGCTGATGCGGGGACAGAAGGGGTACTAGTTCAAACATAAACACAAAGATTGTGTTTTGTTGCAATGACAAGTGAAAGCAAATGTTAAACGCTTCATATATTCGCTTTGTCGGATGGCTTTTTTCTTGGTTGTTTGCATCATTGGACTGTAATGCCAGTGTGTAAGTATCTGATATTGAAGCAACTGTAAAATATGTAAAGACCCGCTCCAATACAGATATTTGTTGCAGTCAGATGGAATACGTGAGAAAGCAGACTGAGTCAGAAAAGCTGCACGAGCGCATGAATGTAATGTACATAGATATCATAGCTGCATGATTCGCATGATCTCGACAATTCACTGGGATCCATATCATAATTAAATTTGAAGCATTCTACCCCTTCGTTAATGTTATATAAATATATAAATTATATATAAATATATTCAAAGTGCCATTTCTCTATTTTTTTGTGAAGACTCAGTAAAATTTGTATTCGTTGTTTTAAAATGTTACAAAAAAACAGAACAAAATATATGCATGTTATTTTTAATTATTTGATTGTTCATGAATTTCAGGATAATTTATGCTTCGTGCGGATTTTACATATCTGTTCAGGCATCTCCTTCTGAATGTAAAATTTGTAATCCTTATAGTGTGCCAGTTGTAAACTTTCAAAGATTCTGATGCAGTTAAGCATGACCAATTAACGTCACTCTAGCGCTTATGCTGCAAAAGTAATGTTGTAAAATCGTCCGTGCTGTTGTGTTAATAAGTAAAAGAACAAAACATACTTTGGGTAAGAAAGTAAGGCTTACCAAAATATTAAAGGATTTTATAATGGCATATTTTTTCAAAATTAAAATGTTTTCAACTAAATACAATGTTTCGGTATTTGTATAGCCAATTAACATCTTCTTTAGCATATATAGATACTCAAACAAAAGCCTTTTATTCATTCTTTCGTTAAAGCATGTTTTTCCGTTCTAGATGTCAACAGTTTAAAGTCATAAAGGTTAAGTTATAGTGGACAAAATATTTATTTTAAATAAATAATAATAATTTATTGTAATCGTAAATATAAGATTTCATTTACCCAAATGAACAAAATGTGATATCTTATTGAGAATGAGTAGGGAAAATCTGAGAAACATACTACATACTGTACTGCAATATGTTCTGGGGGCTGAATCATCACTAGTTAGTAATTAGTCCGCAATTTATTTTCACTAAAGAAAACTCAAGAGGTCGCTGTTGCACCTCCACTGTTCTTGGCATTTAAAACGAGCACGAAAATACAGGTATCAGAAAATTTTAATCTGCATTTTAAGTAACATCATATATGGATGTAATTGGTAATACAGCTGTAAAAAAATTAAACAGGTATAAAGTTTAGGTTGTACTTTTGGAATAGATTATGCAGGGTACAGATTTTAATTTAAGTGCTTTTACAAAACAAGAGTGATAGAAATAGCTATTTGAAATGCAGTAGTAGAAAATACTGTGAGACAATATATAATTTGTTTTACAGAATATCACATCTGTGCATAGTTCATAGTGTAGAGCCTTTGTCTATAGTGGCCTTCAGCTGACAAAATGGGAAAAATACTTTCAAGAGAATAAAAATTATTTTGTTTTCATAAAAACATTTTATATAATTAAAAAGGCATTTCCACATTTTGTACTCTTTTCATTTTTTACAATTTGTTTCTGTGTTCAACATGATGCTCTTTTTAATTATTTGATGTCTTACATGCTGGTTATATTTTATTCTTAATTCTACTATTATGATTATTGATTTTATTTAAGAAATAATATTTAAAATAAAGTAAAACAAAACAAGAACTGTTCATGTTTTATACAGACATTTCAAACCAATGGTAATCTGATGAAACTAAAGTATTAACTATGGTATTCAATAACATCACATCCAATAATTGTATAAAACCAATATTTCCCCTACAATTTCATTTATTACTCTGAATATTCAGTATGATTTACATATCTGATATACTGTAAATCCTCATGAAATCCATTAATAATATAGTTGTTTCTTTGTGATTGACTAAGAAAGAATGCCAAACAAGCATAATGTAGTCTTCCATAGCACATTTTAAAGATATTGGAATTATGCATGCCAACACTTTATAGTTCAAAGCTTTATGGTGGCCCACTGATAAAGTCAACGGGGCATATTCATTTGGCATTTACCACAATGTTAAATTTAATCCCGTTTTCTCTTCTGTAGGAAAACAACTCAATGAAGTTGTAAAATCTGACCTCTGCCTTAAAGGCAAATCTAACAGCTGATGAAAATTATTTATGTTTTGATTTGCTTAATATTGTATTTCTTTTCCTTTGATAAAGAAAGGCAAAGAGGGAGGGGCTTTATGATTATGGAATAATCATATTATATTAATACATTGTAAATCTTAAACTCTATGAGGTGAGCAGCATATCAGTTTACTTTTAAGTTGCTGAAAGTTAAGTTTTTCTCAACTTACATGCTCATGCTCATTCTTTAAAACAAAAGCTTTTAACTACAAAAAGACATCCTGAAAGTCCCATTTGTGGTTACTTGATCCTACATACTGTCATGCTCTATAAATAATACATGATAATGAATAATATACAATTAAATCAAACTATGCAAAGATTCCCAAAAATATTTTTTTGTTTGCAGTGTTACTGGTTCCTTTTATTCAGATGATAATTTTGGATTGCTCATTCTCTTTGAAGAATGTGCCCTTACTTAAGTATATAGTGTCAGCTTTCATTCTTTAGATAAAAATAGATGACTATTCCTGTTTTATTCATTTGTTTTTTGCACATTGAGAGATTCAACAGATTAACTGGGCTATTTGTGCAGATCATATCTTAAAAAAACATTTTCTTCTTAACTACTGTAAGTATATCCTTCCATTTTGTTTTGCAGCAGTGTGCCACTTTATGATTTATTTCTGATATATAGCAGCAACATCCTCTGAATACACAAAATGTTAAAATGCAAAGTTTAAAGTGGGGAGTGTACTAATAATATTTGTGTCCTTAGTGTAGCATAGTATAAATTGTAATTATGTCCCATCCATTTCCCTCTTCACTGTCATTGGTGGTCCCCTCCTCTACATTTTCAGCCAAAGAACACCTAAAGAAGGATCAGACAGCTATGACAGAATCACAGTGCAATAAGAATTTGATAGCAGTACACGAAGCCCTCTGTGCCCCTCAGAGCAATAAAGTTTCATATAACATGTATGCAATATACTTTATCTCTCAAGATAAAGCACGATCCAGTGATGTCAGAAGAGGGAATGTTTAGGCTCCCAATACCGTAGCAACATCTTTTTTTCTGTGGTCAGACCAGCCAAGGATATCTGTTTCTGTTGCTATGAGTGGCAAAGTTTAAAATGATCATTTAATAGAAAGTGGTAGATGCAGAAAAGTAATTCCTGGGGATATATTTTAGAAGAACACATCCATAAAGGTAATAATTGGAGCTATTACAAAGTTATATTTTCTTGATGCAGTGCCTTCAGACCCATCCTATGGTGTCACATTCTGTGAAAAACACAATGATGCATACTGAACTTGTTTTTTAAACTTAATATATTATTCAAATCCTTAATGCTCAAGCTGAAGATTTCTAAGGTTAACACAAGCTACTGTAAATATCAATAATAGGTAAAGAGAAAAAAATGAAAAATGGTGTTTGCTTAGTATTCAGACCTGTGAAGGTATCAGGATATTGTTGTACCATGACAATTTTTTCCCATCTTAACCATTGAATTCTGTAAGTCTTTCAAAGGTGTGTAAGAGGACACGGGGAAGGGTCATTTCTAACAGGTATTTCCGAAACGAAACGCTGAAAATGCTAGAGATTGACCTTAGCAAGATGGCGGGCAAAAATAATCAGCTGACCAGTAGATGGAAAGGATCTACCTTAAGAAACAACGAGACACAGCTGAGACGCATCAGGAACCGGAATATAAGTGGGCCGGAGGCAGTGAACAGGGCGGAAGCTGGTAAGGTGAATGCGTTTCGGGAGAGGAGAGGAGAGGAGAGGAGAGGAGAGGAGAGGTGAGGTGCTTGTTACGGATCGGGCTAAGGAACAACGAACGATTTATAGAGGAGCAAAAATTAATACGCGCAGAGTTGTGCAGGTTAAGGGGACGGATTACGGACTGTATTAGGAAGACAGTTGTTGGAAGAAACGCCACGGATCTGAGGACAGTAAAGTGTGGTGTACTACCTTCGTTTACATAAACTATCCCCCGGGTACACCACAATTGGTGGAGGATGCGGGTAGCTCCCGCTCGGGTTTGAGAATCAAAGAGCAAGTTTTTTTTTTTTTTGTGTGTGTGCGGGTTCCGCTTTGCGCGTGTGAAGAAACGCTATGGAAGAATTAATACAGCAGTTGTCCCCAAGCCACCCTCGCCCAATTCCAGGCATTAAAAGGACAACGAGAAGCTAACGAAGCGCAACTGGAGGCGAACCAAACCCAAAAAGAAACCAACGAACGAATTATAGAGGAGCAAAAATTAATACGCGCAGAGTTGTGCAGGTTAAGGGAACGGATTACGGACTGTATTAGGAAGACAGTTGTTGGAAGAAACGCCACGGATATGAGGACAGTAAAGTGTGGTTTAAGTACTACCGTCGTTTACACAAACTATCCCCCGGGTATATCACAGGTGCCATTGGCATCATGGTGGCATCGCTAACCAGTTCACTCCTTGCTCTGCAACACAGTTTGGAAGGACAGCTTGATACAGGTAGTATCTGGGTACCTTTTTGTTCTTGATGACTTCTCCTGCTTTTAAACAACTGTATCCGTAAGTTGTTACAAAAGCTCCTTTGTCTTCATAGTTGAGCCTTTGCTTGAAGTTGGACACCTGACAGAAGGACATTACTAACATACTGTAGGTGTATTTTGACATCACATGCACTAGTGTTTTATATATACAGAGTACACACTAATAACTGTATACATTCTTAATAAAATTTAATATACCTAATTAATATAGATTTGTCATGACAAATGGCTTGAAATGCTTATGCAATGATAGCTTTTCCATTTCTTCTTTAAATCTATTATTTATTATTTCTGTTTTTGCTTAAGATGTGTAGTGTTAGTTGTGTGCATATATTACATTTTAATTCAAAGCATTGTGACTGCAACCTTTTAAGGTGCATAATGTGAAAACTATACAAAAGTCTTGTGATGACAAATTGCTAAATCACTGATTGCTGTTTTAGAAACTTTGAGTTGATGTAACACTTTTGTTGTACTAAAATAACATTTGTTTAAGGCAAGATATTGAAATCGTGTCATCATGATTTGGAAAACTGATTTACAGTTTTATATATGTACCAGAATTGTACATTATGAACTGAAAGACTGTATTTTAATGTAATTCTCTCATGTTGCTTTTAGTCATTTGTTTCTCTAAGTGTATTTTGCTGGATAAGATAAGTCAGTAATATAGACAGTTACAGTCATCTGCATAGACAGATTGCAATACTTTCCATCCGAAATAACTTACAAATATCATATTTGCATTGTATGTACATTTAAGACAGACTAATAGATAGTCATGTCATGGGTGAATGCAATTGGTCTAAAAAGGCTTGCCCAGGCCAATCTAGTGTCAACAAGATTTCTGGGCAAACACTGACGCTGACTTATGCCAGCGTGACACTACACAACTTTTTCAAGGATTTCCAGTCGTAGTCTTCATTTACATAATCCTTAGAAAATTACAGTGAGTTGTACGACCCACCGTGCACCTGTTACTGTCAGTTGTGTAGTGTGACATCCCTGGAGACTCAGTCATAGCGCTCTTAACATCCAATACCACTCTCTGTGACTTGCTATTACAAAATCAAACTGGTTTGATTTTCTCGTAGTGAGTCGCAAGTTTTAGGGGTGGGATCTTGTGTCTGCGACAGTCAACAGCCAATGAGCTCTCAACCGGAAGTACAATGCATACAATGTCCACAAACAGTGAATAGCAATGGCGGCTAGAAGGAAAGCGAGTTTTTTGGACTGTGTGAATGGAGGAGAGACTCGTCTATCTTTGAAGCCAGCACAGATGTCTGTTTGATGTTTCGTGTTGGTTGTTTGTTTACTTTTGTGCGGTGCTCCTCTTATTATTCTGATGTGCTCCACGTTGATTGGCTGCCAAAATGAGGCAACCTTGCGGGTCATTTGTGATAAGAGATTTGGAACGGTGATGAAAAGTCATGAGGGAATCATGTAATGAGTCACCCTCTGTGATTCCTAGTCATAATTTGACACCCTCTAGGACAGAAAAGGCAGTGAGATTTAGCAACTGTAGTCATTAAATTTGACATGCTCTCCAACTAGAAGTCGTGTTGAGTCATGTAGTGTGATGCCGGCTTTATAAATTGAATGATACTGTACAAATTGTTAGCATTTTTAACTGAGGACAAAGGTGATGTTAGGATTTCCATTGCTAGATTTGAGTCATTCCATTGTATGAGTGCAGTTACTAAAACAAGCGGTGATTTAGGTATTTGATAAGAAGTCCTTGTGAGTTTAGAGTGGTCCTGGGGAACCTAGATTCACTAGATCCCTTGGCTTTTGCTCTTAAGAGAATAAATGACAAACATCATATTGTATACAAAATATTTATT